TGATGACATCCTACTGTATTCTAAAAGTTCTATCTAACATGTATACAAGAATGAAATGTCTGCAATTTCTTAATAAAGTTAGCATTGAATATAATTAACAGTATCAATAAATATTATGATATTAAACTATGCTTAAAAAAATAATTTGGGTTTAAAATCAAAAGTGGTGGACAGTCATATTTATTTTATGAAACAGAACATAACTATCTATCATTGCTTGAAACTGGTTTTGAATTGGTAACCCAAAAGATTATATTATGATTTTTCTCTGAATAATTATTTTATAATAATTGTTCAAGTTATGAAATTGGAGATGTTTGACTGAAACAAAATTTTACTCAGTTCAGTTAAAGAAATGTTTTGAATTTCTGATGTAACATTTGTAACTCTTATTGGTTCGTGTATACGGGTTATGGGTGTTACATTTATTGGTATTAGATCTACATGTTTAGCCGATTCTAGGACTAAACTGAGCTTGTTTTGTTTTAAAAAGTGTATGTATGCTACTAGAACGTCATTGTTACTTTTTGGTGATTATAAGGTTTGAATGATGCCATTGCTTACTTATAGAGGTAAATAAATATAGTGTATGCAAAAGATGTGTGTATTCGAGGGTTTGAAGAATGTGATCGAATAGGAGGTTCAAAAATAAACTAATAGTGATAATAATGGTTTTACCATAATTTTAATGTTTAGTTTAATAAGATGATGTATTGGTACAATAGGAAGTGTCAATGTTGGATTAAGAAAAACCCTCATTTATTCATAATTAAAGCATTGATGAAGGAATGAAACATTCTGCTACAATTGATCGTAAGTGACATGTGTATGATTAACCTTTTTTGCTAAAATGCGAGGTTGAATCGTATTTGTAGACATTAACTGTCTGGTAACGATTCAAAGTGTTGATTTATAATAGACTTGATAGAATTAATTTTCGACGGTAATTTTTGGAATGGATTAATTACCCCTTGCCATGTTGCAATGAATTACTGCTTAGAGTGATTGAATTTTATAGAACTCATAAAGTTCTGAGATATTTGTGGTAGGTAAAGAGAATAAATTTGTTTTCTAATGTGATTTTAGCATCAACTACTGTAAATTTATTGCTACTAGGATGTCAATCCTTCTTAGTAAAGGAGGTGATACTCAAACTTTCTTAGTTAAGTTAGAAGATATTCAAATTGTTCGAGGGTATCCAAATGTGTATCTGCAAAAGTTACCTGGATTACCTATACTTTGAGATGTAAAACGTAAAATAAAGATGTTTCTCAGTATTACATTTATTTCTATAGTCATATAGAATGGCTCCGACTGAGCTCAGATAATTAAAGGCATAGTGAGTATAATTGTTAAGACCAAGGATTTACAAGACTAAGCGTTTCATCTAGGATGCACCAGTGTTATTGTAAAAAATAAAGAGAGTATATACAATTATGCATAGATTATCATCCATTAAATAAGGCAACAAAGAAGAACAAGTACCCTCTTTCGAGGATTGATAATCTTTTGATTAATTAAAAAGATGCATTGCTGTCTCCCAACTTGGTTCTCCTATTGAGATATTATTAGTTAAAGATGAGGAAGAAGATCTTCCTAAGACAGTTTTCAGAGTTCGATATGAACACTACGAGTTCGCGATAATGTCATTTGGTTTAACAAATTTTCTTGCAACACTTTTGGATTGGATAAATTGATTATTTCAGTTATGCATGGATTAATTGGTGGTAGTGTTCATTGATGTTATTGTGATATGTTGTAAAATCAGGGAAAACATGATGCTTGTTTTTGTATAGCTCTTCCAACTATTCAGGAGGAAAATTGCATGCTAATTTGACCAAGTGTAAATCTTGGCTTTTTAAGGTTGTATTTCTTGGCCATGTGGACTTAGCTAAGGGGATAAGAATATATATCATGGAAGAACGATATATAGTCGAATGATCTTAATGAATGTTTTTTAATTTCAAAGTTTCTTGGGATTTGTTGGTTACTATCGAAGGTTCACAATGAACTTTTTTATGATTATATTCCCTCTGATCAAGCTATTGAGGAAATACGTGTTATTTATTTGGACTGTTAAGTGCCAAGAAAACTTGGAGATGTGTTAAAAAAGAATACTAACATAAGTTCCAAGGTCAGTATAATTAGAATATGGAAAAGATTATGTGAATTATAGTAATGTGTATCATAATGTTATGAGATGTGTGCTTGTTTAAGAGGAAAAAGTTAAGGTTTTTGCTTCAAAGCAACAAGAGAATCATGAACGAAATTATTCGACTCATGATATCAAGTTGGCAATAGTTGTTTTTATTTCATTGACATAATGCCACTATTTATATGGTGATTGATGCTATATCTATATAGATCTCAGATGTCAAAAGCATGTGTTAACTCGAAAGAGTGAAAATAATGTAAATGGATTGAATTCCTTAAAGAATGATAATATGTTTATCAACTACAATGAGGAAAGACTAATATAGTGGTTAATATGATAAAGCTAAAAGACATTTATGTTCTGAGAGTTTTGAATACATGATTGTGTTTAAGGGAAGATGATGACCTAATTGTAGCTTTAAATTTAAAGCCTATGTTGCTAGATCGAGTAAAGATTCTTTAGAGAAAAGATGAAAATTTTTGTTCTTGTCAAAGATAGAACAATAGGGAAAATGAGAAACTAAAGACTTTAAGGTTAAGTCTAATGAATTTTTATATTATCGAGGAAAGAGTTTAGAAGCAGGTATGAAAAGCGTTATCATTGAGCTTGTTTCTAAATGGCTGACATGTTAGCGAGTTAAAGTAAAGCATCAAGTGCCTTCTGAATTATTGTAATCGATTTATATCCCTTCGTGTGAATAGAAACGAGTTACAATGGACTTTGTAATTGGAAATGATTATTTAAGGTAACCTCATGATAGTTGTCTATTAACAAAAGTCTTATTCGGATTTAAAAAGGAAAATAGATATTCTATAAAAGTGGTGATAAGTGTTGCTGAAAGTATCGATTAGGTCCTTCTTATGTTAACACATCAGAAGATATTAAGATTGAATAAAAATTTTGACTTATGAAATCGGTACTTATTAAAGCTCGACATAGAAATTAAAGCTTGAAAAAGCTAATCGAAAAAAAGAATAGCAAGATATGAACAAGCAATATCCTTATCTATTTACATCAAGTACGTTTTGAAAATTTGAGGACGAATTTTCTTAAGGGGGACAATTGTAATACCCCAAAATTTTGGTTAGTGACCAAAATGTAATTTTTAAAAGTTAATTGGCCAAAGTATAAACTTTAGAAAATAGAGACTAAAGTGTAATTTTAAAACATTTTATAATCCGGCTCCGTAAATGAATAATTTACCCCCAATAATGACATTTTTGTGTGAATCATATTTTTCGTACTGGTTTTGTATTAAAAACTATAAAGTGATAAAGTTGGAGAAAAATCCGGATAAACGGATCAAATAGAAATTTTGAGAAAATTTTAAGGATGCTAAATTAAGCTTAGAAATATTATTTTCACATTTTAAATTGATGGAAAATAATATGGATCATTGGATTTGAAGATTTATTTCCATGCTTAATTTTGATCGTTTGATCAAAGTGACAATATTTCAGCTTTTGGAAAGTTGCTTGGTAAAATTGGAAAAGGGTAAAATATTTTGTTCATCTTTGACTTTGGAAAGATGATAAGGTTATGTGGCTTGGTATTATTGTAAATATCAAGTTTAATTAATGGCAAAATGGACATTTTTCATTAAATGAATATTTTATTCGTTTACGCTTAATATAAGGTAAATTAACATGACATTCATTAGAAATTTCATGAAAACTTAGCCATTTTTAGCTAACATTTCGTGCTCCCCATGAACAAGGTAAGAGAATTTTTATTTTTCACTTCTGAGCAATTTCCTTTGGATTTTGGATCATGCCGTGAAATAGAAAATTGTTCTATTCGAAAAACGCTATCATTTGATTCCATTATTGTTTGCTAATTTGGTTTGTGTTCAAAGATCCCAAATTTTAGGGTTCATGTTCACATTAGGGTTTATGGAATTGATGAAGGATTTTGATGTTATTGAGGATGTAGAATCACTTCCAAGCATGATTGATGATTAAAATCACTTGTACATGATCATATGAACATATGAAGTTTCAACCTAACCCTAATCTTTGGAAAAAGATGTGTTTTGATGAAATTAAATTAGGGTTTTGATTTTATAGATTTTATAAGGTTGAATCAAAGTTGATTTCATGCTTGAATCGAATCAAAATCGAGAAAAAATATGGAAAAATTATGTAAGAGCTGGAAATTATGTATGAAGAATTTTACAAGCCTTAGAAAAATTCGGTGACCATTTTTAAATTTTATGAAAGTTAGGGGACCTAATCGGTAATTATAGAAAAGTATTGGATTTTTTTTGTAATTGTTCAATATTTGATGTACTATTCTGAAATTATTTTTTTATAGTTAGAATTTAACTTAGGATGTGAAATTGGATTATTATGGAAAACTTGTAAAAGTTGAAGTTTAAATCACAAATATAGAAATGTTGGGAGCTTAACTGAAAATGTTTTGTGAAGTTGGAATAAAAAGGAACTTAAGTGGTGAATTAGAAGTATTAAGGTCAAAATTTATGTTGTGACATGGAAATTATATCGAATAAGTATCGAACAATTTCTAGGAATTTATTTTCCAAAGTATGCGCATGTTAGTAAGATTCTAACATTTGGTTTGAATTTGTATATGTTTGGTAATGATGTTCATTTAGATTGAATGCTTGAAATAAAGATCAAATATTATTAATGCTAAGGAGGAGCAGGCACAACAGGGAGTGCTTGTGCAAGATCAGAGGACCTTATTCCAGGCGTTGGACGTGATTCTGACGCGTTTCCAACCGTCTGCTCTCTCAGCCCCTAAGATGAATGTCTATAAGGAGCTGAAAAGCCTAGTAGCACCATAATTTAGGGGAGAAACAGAAGATGGTCCCGTTGCTACCGATATGTGGCTCAATGACCTGAAGATTATGCTAGAGAATCTTCATTATTCTGAAATGGAGAAATTAGATGGTGTAGTTTCTTTATTACGGGGTCAAGCTAGAATTTGGTGGTCTAATGTGACGATGCGAGCTTCAAGGGATCAGGTGACTTGGCCCTTCTTTCTAGAGGATTTTAAGAACAAATATATAGGGGATCAGTTCATCAGGCAGATGAAGTAAGAATTTATGAGTTTAAAGAAAGGGAATCACACGGTGTATGAGTTCGAGTGCGACTTCAACAAGTTCAGTCGATTTGCTGCAGAGTTTGCCCCTATAGAGAGGGAATCTTGTGATTGGTTTGTGGAGGGTTTATGCCCCAGACTGAAAGAGTTATTGTTGGCACTTAGTCTCTTTTCCTTTCAAGAGGTTGTGAATATATCTAAAGCCCTGGAGCAAGCTCAAAACAAGAGGTTTGTGGAGCAAATATCACAATGGAATAAGAGAGCTAGTGCTTCGTCCAGTGTTTCCCAACCAAATAAAAGTAAATGTTCGAGTTCTTGACCTCATACTAGAGCAGAATATGCAGCATCCTTAGGTAGAGGATCAAATCCGGAAAGAACAAGACAAACTTATTTGGTGGAATCTAGAGTGGACAAGCCAAAATAATGTCAGTATTGTGAGAAAAATCATAGTGGAATATGTCGAAGGGTATCCAGAGCTTGGTTTAAGTGTGGAGAGGAAAGACATTTTATTCAAGATTACCTATTGATAACGAGAGAGTCTGCCCAAACATAATGATCCACTACAACACCAATGAAAGGTAGAGGTCAAGGAGAGGAAAGAATCAGTCTGAGTCGACCACTCAACCTGAAGTACATTCCACTGCTCGGTATACATCTTAAAGACTAGTGAAGATTGTGATGATCCTGAAATCATTGCAGGTTCTTTCAGATATGTGGTAAATCTATTTTAGTATTGATTGATCCCGGATCAAATTATTCCTATGTTAGTAGTAAACTAGTTAAAGACATGAGAATTCCGTTAGAACCTGTACGTAGTGAGGTGATTGTGACTAATCCATTAGGACATAGTTCTCGGGTGAGACAATTATGTCGGGGATGTCCCATATGGATTCAGGGAATTAAATTCCCTACTAATCTAATGGAATTACCCTTTGACGAGTTTAAGGTTATACTTGGTATTGATTGGCTTTACCATTATCATGCCAACGTGGATTGTCAACTTAAGTGAGTTATGTTAACAAGTCTGGATGGATTAGAGGTTAGCGTGGTCAGTGAAAGAATAAATCTCTTAGCTAATGGGATATCGTTGATGTCAGCATGAAAGTTAATGTTGCAAGGATACCAAGTGTATATTGCTAATGTAATTGATACGAGAGCTAAAGAAAAGAAACTTGAAGATATCCTTATAGTCAGAGAGTTTATAAATGTATTTCTGGATGAATTACCTGGGTTACTTCCAGATAGGGAGGATGAATTTCAGATTGAAGTGATGTCAGATTCAGTACATAATTTAATGGCTCCTTACAGGGTGGCCCCAAAGGAATTGAAAGAATTAAAGGTTCAGTTGCATGAGATTTTAGATTTATTAGACCTAGTGTGTCAACTTGGTGTGCTCCAGTGTTATTCGTAAACAAGAATGATGGTTCGATGCGCATTTGAATTGATTATCGTCAGCTTAACAATGTAACCATAAAGAACAAGTATCATCTTCCAAGGATAGACGATTTATTTGATCAACTCAATAGAGCTGCAATGTTTTTAAAGATCGATTTACGTTCAGGGTATCATCAGTTGAAGATACAAGAAAAAGATGTTCCAAAAATGGCGTTCAGGACTCAGTATGGTCATTACGAATTTGTAGTAATGTCATTCAGGCTAACTAATGCACTTGCAACATTTATGGACTTGATGAATAGAATTTTTCAACCATACCTTTATTAGTTCGTGGCCATTTTTATTGATGACATCTTGTTGTATTCAAAGTCAAGAGAGGAGCATGATGTCCATCTTCGCGTGGTTCTTCAAGCATTGTAAGACATGAAGTTTTATACAAAGTTCTCTAAGTGTGATTTTTGGTTATCTGAATTGACATTCCTTGGACATGTGGCTTCTGCAGAGGGAATTCGAGTAGATCCTCAGAAATTTAAAGATGTGTTAGAATGGGAGATTCTGAGAATGTGTCAGAAATTCGAAGTTTATTAGGTCTTGCAGGTTATTATCGGAGGTTTGTTAAAAACTTTTCGATGATATCTCTGCCTTTAACCAAACTGTTAAGAAAAGATCTGCAGTTTGAGTGGACTTCTGATCGTCAGAAGAGTTTTGAAGTATTGAAGAAAGTTCTGATAGAAGCTCCAGTGTTGGTACAACCGGATCGAACAATGATTTCACGATTTTCAGTGACGCTTCCCATAATGGTTTGGGATATGTCTTAATGCAATATAGACAGGTAGTTGCTTATGCTTCAATACAACTTAAACCTCATGAAAAGAATTATTCGACACATGACCTTGAATTAGCAGTTGTGGTCTTTGCATTGAAATTTTGGCGGCACTATATATATGACGAGAGTTGCTATATCTTCATCGATCACAAGAGTTTGAAGTATTTGTTAACAAAAATGGATTTAAATTTGAGACAAAGAATACAAATGCAGTTACTTAAGGACTATGATGCCATTATTGATTACTATCCCGGAAAGACCAATGTAGTAGCTGACGCTCTTAGTCGGAAGACTTTTGCTGCTTTACGTAGTTTGGATACTCGAATCGTGTTAAAGGAAAATGGTGCATTGATGGATGAGTTGATGTTGAAACCATTATTGTTAAAACATATTAAGGAATTACGAATGAGGGATGATAAGTGTTTACCTTGGTTTGGACAATTGGAAAAAGGTGAACTTAAGGAATTTCAGGTAAAGTCAAATGGATGTTTATACTTCAAAAATCAAGTTTGTGTTCCCGTTGATGACGAATTAAAAAGAGATATATTATATGAAGCACATTGTAGTCCTTTAACGATGCTCTCAGGAGGAAATAAGATGTATCAAGATTTGAAAGAGCGTTTTTGGTGGTCATGCATGAAAAGAGACATTACAGAATTTGTAGTAAATTGCTTAAATTGCAAACAAGTAAAAGTTGAACATCAAGTGCCTTTGGGATTATTGCAACCAATCTCAATTCCTCAGTGGAAATAGAAAATTATGATGATGGATTTTGTAACATGTTTTCCCTTATCGTCGAGCAAAAAGGATTCGATTTGGGTAATTATAGATCGCCTTACAAAGACTGTACATTTCATTCCTGTGCGAACGGAATTCTCTATGGAAAAACATGCTTAATTTTATGTCAAAGAGATAGTGCGACTTCATGGTGTTCCAATTTCAATAGTTTCTGATAGAGATCCCATATTCACTTCGAGATTTTGGAAGTCTTTGCAAGGAGCTTTGGGTACCTGATTGAATTTTAGCACTGCTTTTCATCCTCAGACTGATGGTCAACCAAAGTGAACCATTCATATGCTGGAAGACATGTTGAGAGAGTGTGTGATTGATTTTAGTGGATCATGGGAAAAATATTTGACACTTGTGGAATTTGCCTGTAATAACAGCTATCAATCCAGTATTAAGATGGCACCGTATGAAACATTGTATAGAAGGAAGTGCAGAATACCACTCAATTAGTATGAATTAAGGGATCAGGAAGTTCATGGCCCATATTTGATTAAAGAAGATGAAGAAAAGGTTTAGGTGATTCAGCACAATTCGAAAGTGGAATCAGACAGACAAAAGTCATACGCCGATTTGAAAAGAAAATAAATTGAATTTCAAGTAGGTGATAACGTATTTCTAAAGTATCACCATGGAAGAAAGTACTTCGCTTTAGGCGTAAAGGAAAAATAAATCCTAGGTTCATTGGACCTTATGAAGTTCTGAAAAAGGCTGGACCAGTGGCATATCACTTAGCGTTGCCACCAGAAATGAAAAAGATCCATAATGTATTCCATGTTTTTATGCTTAGGCAATATCGATCAGATCCTACACACATTAGAACTACAGATGTGATAGAAGTTCATTCTGACTTGACATATGAGGAAGAACCAGTGCAAATTCTAGCTTTTAAAAACAAGCAGTTGCGAAATAAGACGATTCCACTAATTAAGGTTCTTTGGAGAAACCATAAAGTAAAAGAAGCTACGTGGGAACGTGAACAAGATATGAGGAAGCAATATCCCCACGTCTTTTTGCAATGAAAATTCAGGGACAAATTTTCTTAAGAGGAGATTTGTAACATTCAATTCATCGGGTCAGTGATCAAAATGTAAGAATTTTAAACTCAATGGTTGAATTAGAATAATTTGATAAATTCAAGGATTTATGGTTGAATTTCTGTGTAGGTCTTGATAGAAATTATGGTTTAGTGGATAAGGCATTATAGTTTTTTTATGTTAAAGGATAATTATCTCCTTTTTTAAGGGATAAGCACGTGGAAAGTGGAGATATCTAGAACCTTTCTTGCTCTCTTCTTCTTAGTGTCGTGTACTCCTCCATCAAAGGTAAGATTATGAAATTAGTGGATTTCCTTTAATTTTTGGTTTGGTAATGAAAGTTTGGATGTTATATAAGCTTAACGAAAGCTTATATAGGATTAAAACAACAAGAGGAGTAGACTAGAAGTGAATTTATAAAAATGTGTGTTAAGATGAATTATTGATATAGTGCAGTTTTTGAAGTTTTATTTGGATATTTGACTTGTCAATGATCAATTTAAGATGGTAGAAGTATTTGAAATGATTAAACACGCGTTTAAAATCTTGGTATGATTTTGGGATTTGAGTGTTTATACAAGAATTTGGATTAGTAAATGAGGACAAATTGGTGTGGAAGTATAAGGGTGAGCTTAAAGGCTTAATGTGTTTGGAGTATAAGAGAATTAGGAGGATTTTGATTTATTTTCGAACTGAAAATAGCCATTCTGGGCATAGAGTATCAATACCATTAGAACAGTACCGATACTTCAAGCGTTAAATCTATGTACTTCTAAAGGTGGTATCAATACCGGTTGAAGAATGTATCGATATTGAGTTGGTAGTATCGATACCGTGGGTATGGTATCGATACCATTTTCAAGATACAATTCTAGAATCTTGAAATGGTATCGGTATCGTCAGAGGGTATCGATACCCTAAAGGGAACTATCGGTACTGTAGGGGTAGTACCGATACTTCTAGGCATGAAATGAAAATTTAGTTTTTCTTTCATCACAAGTTATTATGATTGATTATAAGTAATTCAAAGTATAATATTGATTTTCGATTGTTTTGTGTAGTTGTTGAATATAATCAACTTCCGGTCAGCTCGACATATTAAGTACCGAATCAAAATTGTTAAGGATTTCGCTTAGGACTTCAGTGAGTAAAAGGTGAGTGCAACTTCTCGGTTTTGTAACAGAATTGAGGAAGGCTCGAGATAAGCCAACCTCAACATTTTCAATCGAAAACTTTATAATTTCTTTTATGTTATATTACAATGTTTTATTCAATTTATATTATATAAGTTATGTTTTATGATTATGGAAATGTGAACTTTGAACAAGTGTATCTGAAAAGACTCTATGTGAATAAGAAACACTTCGAATAGTTATTGAAAATTATTATGTGGTTAATATCCCAAGGTATATGTATGAGGATTAAAGGTATAGTTGGCATGCCAATAGTCGAGGGTTTTATGTGGTCCTCCGGGATAATTATGTGGTACTTCGGGACAAATATGTGGCACTTCGGTGCAAACCTATGTGGCACTTCAGTGCAAACCTATGTTATCCTTTGGGACAATTATGAGGCACTTCGGTGCATATTACGAGCAACGGTGACAACATTAGTGCACAACCTCAATGTACTCAAATACCTAGAGTTCCCAGTAGTATACATTGGGCATTTGGAACAAATGTAAATAAAGTGAATAATATACATAAGTATACCTTTTTGATATGGAAAATAAGTTGAAATTCTTTATAAAATGTTTTGCTAAAAACCAATAAAGATTTCATTTATTAAGTTAGCATTATTAGTAATTTGTTAAGGTTCTTAAGGTGTCATAAAAAACATTAATAACACCTAAAATGTCATGTGATCATAACTTCAAAATATAAACCCTAAAATGCTTAAATACTCAATTCCTAGAAAATACTTGAAATTTATGAAATCTTAATACTCCAAAGGATTAGAAATACACTACCTTGATGTCAGGATCCCGAAAGAAAGCTCGTTGATTAGCCAAAATCCTTTCCTTGATGATGTGGATAGAAACCCCCACGTTTCTTTAGCTAAGATTAAACCAAGACTTTGATTCGTTAAACTAAGTTTACTCGATGAATTTAGGATGAAAATAAAGTATGAAATGTGCTCAAAAACTTACCTTTTCTTTTGCCTTATATTAGGAAGAAAAAGAAGTAAGAATGGAGAAATAAGGAGGAGGAGAAGATGAAGAATATAAGAAGGCTCATCTTTGAAAATTAGGAAAAATGCACAACTGGTCCTTCCTTGTTTTTCCACAATAAAAAATCTCCATTTTATGGCTAATTGGTCCCATTTCAAAATTCAATTAAGCCCAATGATGTAAATTAGAATTTTCATGGGGTCTACATACCCTCTCATGTAAACTCAAAACTACTAGCATGGAATTTGGTGTGTTACATCTATAGGAAACGATATTGAAATTATAAGAACATGTATTTCTTCAGGAAAAAAAACTCGATCTTATGTGCCTTAAGTCTTGAAGCAATATGAAACATATCCATAATGTAATCCCTCACATTTCATTGACCCATATACTTTAAAGACATCAAAAAAGTCAAAAACGATGTCATTTAAACTTTATTGTTTTAGGGAAAACATTTCTCAATTTCTCGAAGGAAACAATTGGCCTAAGTAATATTTTCAAATTATGTGACCCTAAATACTTATAAAAGTTGCGCTTCATGACCACTAAACTCATGCAATTTGAAAAAAAAATCATCTATCAAAATCCCTTATACCAATTAAGGATTTTATCCCATATGAGAGGTTGAAATTGTTCTTTTCTTAGTGCATAGTCTACGTTCATACAACTAAAACCTCATGTAAGTGTGTTTTTCCATTCCTTGAGTTTTGCTTCCCTAAAGGATGAGCATAAAATGTATAATAACATATATTGTGATAATAATAAATAAATAAATAAGCTAAATATAGAACAAAATATAAATAAAATTAACCTCACATTAATTCACAATTAAATAAATAATCAAAATAATAACTAATTCTCATCACAAGATACCAAATACTACATCAATATCATATCTTTGGATAATATTAATAGAAAACGATACTCTTATTATAGTAATCAAACATTGAATAAGCTATGTCTAACAATAAACTAATCTTCGGAATAATGTAGTGCTCACATAAAATACCTTATATTTGTCACATATTATTACCACGAGTGTCCCTTGGAAACTAACAAAATATTAACTTCCCCTGGGGCAATTAATAAACGCATGAATCAAAAGAACGCATAATCATTTGATATTTTAAATAAACCAGTCTACATAAAAGAGGTCACTATGATAGGATTATGTTTCAACAAATCCACTAAAATATCAAACGTATACAAAATTTGAATTATTTTGTTTATATATATATATATATATATTCTAATAAACAACCATCAAAACTGAAATTTTGATCAAACAGAATTGAATATATACATATATTGCATTAACAATATAAATAAAAATATATAAATATTGTCAACAAATAATTTCTCTTAGTTTTATCTTTCAGTTAAATTAAAAGATAACCAAAATAATAATAAATTTACATACACTTAAACCTTATCTCAAGATATCATATGCTCCATTGATATTTCATCTTTGGACAAAATATTCACTGTCAGTGATATCTGTTACGGTAATCAAACACTGATAATAAGAACATATCGAGCAATAATCTTCTTTTGGGCCGATTTATTACTCACATCGAACCGAATAATTATCATATGTTTATTAACAAAGTTGTACATGCGATTATGTCAACTATTAATCTTCCTTTGTCCCGATCAATACTAACATATCGTAAGTTACATAGACATAACCTTTGTCTTTTAAAAAATCAAATATTTTGCATAATTGATATCACTTTAATGACTTATTGCTTGAATCAAGTCATCTCAAAATGAATATCAATATTCAAATTTAATATTTCTATAACAATGAAATATCAAAACTGAAATTTCTGATTACACTACAACATCTGAAATAACACAAATAAGGTCACATAAATAGTGTTATAAAAAATTGGAAACTCACATCTTTGATTGTTTCTAAAGAATTCCTTAAATGTCCATTTAATTAATTACTTCATAAATTACTAAAGATAAATCGAATTCATAATAATCAATATTTAACCACATGTCAAAATTAAAGTACATACTGATGAATTATATCTTTAATCAAGCTTAATCAAATATATCAATTCCAAATATATATTCTATAATCTATAAGGATAAAAAACCAATTTTTTTTTTTTTAATCACACCATCCTTTTTCCGAAGTAACCCATAATAATATTGTTATCTAAATAATGTTATTGGAAACTGAAAACCTAAATCTTTGACTATTTTCTCAATAATTTCTTAATCACGGATTAACCAAATTAAACCAAAATCAAATAATCACATATTCAGATAATAACAACATGTTCAATTGTTAACAATAATAATTCATAAATGACGTCTCAAGGAAAATAGGTAACCCACTTACCCATAATTTAAACTAAACATCAAAACTTAGTTTCATTTATTTATTATTATCTCAAAATATTTCTTAATCTCAAAATAAAATATTGATTTGGTCATATTAACCAATTATGAGGACACAAAAAACTAAAAGATAACTCTATTGTTCTAACGAAGCCAAACTATTCTGACCAAGATCATCGTCAAGTAAAACATAAACTTTAAACCCAATGAAATTCCAAAATAATTTTCTTAATAATTAACAATCAAAATTAAAATTTTTTCAAATTAAATTAAATATAGATTTTAATCAACGTATGTTTAATTTCAAATCGAAAAGTGATACACAAAAACTCAAGTGAAATACGATAATAGCTCATAATGAAAAAAAAAATTATTTTTATCAAAGTCACATGAAACAAAACTCATATATAGGATCTTATACTGATTGCGATTATAAAGTCAATATATGAATCCTAAATTTAAACATGTAATAATAGATATTGAACAAATAAAAACACTAAAATTTTAATACCATTCGAAATATCAAATCAATGGATTAAATCCATAAAATCTTAATAACGAATCGATCTGAAAATAAATAAATTAATAAATTCTCAATAATTCAACACGACGAGGTGATGATACCATTTGTTAGAACTAAACCATAATAAACATGAAAACAATCACGATTTAATTGATGGAAAATTAATAAATAATTGAATAAATTGATGTCTTTTAATAATAAGTTATGTCACTTAGTGAACTGACTTATTATTTGGTATAAAATTACATCAATGCAATTATACCTATTAGCTTTTCAACAAATCTCTTCATCAAAAGGTTATAACCTTTTGATTAATTTCCTCTCCCCTATATATAGGTTAGTTGAGGCACAATCTTAGAAACAACTTTGAGAGACAACTTTGAGACACAATTCACAAAGTTGAATTAGGAAATCACTTAGAAAATTCCTTTCAAATTCGTTCTTTCCGGTGATAGAGAAAGGCAAGATTGTATTCGATTGATCATTACGGTTGTGCTTACTGTTTTGATTGTTTGTTGTTGTATCCTGGGAGACCGACATCCAACGTTACTCAAAGCACTGAGGATAGGACGAATCTGTCTTAAAGAAACTATTCATACCTGCCTCAACAAAAATCCTTCTTCGGTTTAACATACTCTACTCATCCGATTCATTGTCTAAATATGAGTAAACCAATTTCTTGCCTCTACTTTAAATTTTATTTATTTTGTTTCGTTCGATTATATAATAATATTTATTATTATTATTATCTCGGATTAACAATTTTGTCTAACAAACTTAAGACATATTTTATATTTTATTTTACAATTCTAATCCAAGATGCACTTTATACGTAATTGGTTGTGGCAATTTGCGTCATTGAAATTCTCAAGTGGAGAAAGTTGGATTGAAAGAACATTTACGTGTGAAAGACCCTCAGAAAATCACTGGATAGTTATTTTCGTGCTCCAATCCTTGAAGAAATTGAAGTGATGGACACAAAAAGTAGGGTCCAATTAACTTTTTGTTATGATTCCATAACCTTTTGCAGGTTCAAAGAGAAGAACCTCTATTATCAGCCAGTCTACGAGACTACCACTGGAACAAGTTTTAGAAACCTACGTTTTCTCTAATATCTTGCCTATGAAAATTTACAATGCAAATCGAATGTAAGTGGAGCCCAAAGTTTCAGTTAACGTGCGAAACTACGATACAAAGAACCAACGTTGTGTATTCCTTTGTTTCTTGCCTAGACCTTCGCATACGTCATTCGGTGCACACCTTTTCATTTGGTTGTGCTTTGTGGATAGCGTAAGGGTTGGTTATTTGTGGTAGCAAATACAATTTTCCATGTTTAACTTTGAACTCTCAAAGCAACATTTGTCCTTTGTGATGGTGCACCACCCACAAGTTAATGATCTGAGTTTTGGTTGGCAACGATGAATTCATAATACTGATCAAGAAATCGAAAAGGTATGTGTAACCATTCAATATTTGTTGTATAATATATGTACATTGAGATTATACTATTGTTTCGGGTTTTATTAAATTCCCACCGATCAACAGAAGTTAGTTCTGTTTCGAGAATTAATTTATTAAATTCTCTTCGTTTAACAGAAATTGGTTCTATTTTGGGTTTTATTTCCGTTTTCCAACAAAAGTTGGTTTTGTTTTGGATTTTAATTTTAAATTCTGACATTAACGGATTCAACAAAATAATGTTGATTGTACATTTCTTTTTCGGGTTTACTTTTACTAAATTCCCGCTGTTTAACAGAAATTACTTAATTGTTGGATTTTAGTTTTAACTAAAATTTGTTGCGATATATAAGGTACCGAAACAAAATTATGATATGTTTGTGAATAAAATCCGAGCCGATAATTATGTTTCAGGATTTTAATCCCGTCAGCCAACGGAATTTATTTGATTTACTGTTTAAAACAGAAATCATTTGAAAGTAACAACATTTTTACAAAGTTTTTATTAGAATTTAATTTCTAATTAAATTCTATTGTTTAAACAGAATCAGCGGGTAAAATAAATTGAAATAAGTTTTGATTTATTATTAGAATTTTTACGAATTCTAATTTCAATAAAAAAATGGTAACCCCATTGATTCACCTAACTCATGATTTGAAATGTTAATTCCTATTCAAACTTTGAATAAAATCAACAATGTCAGTGGTTTTGAGCCACACCGAGAAGCATGTGAAATTCATGGATAGAATTTCAAGACATAAGGACATAAGATGTTGTTTTTAATTATGTTGAATATGGTCAAATATAAGATGATCCTCTTATTCATAGAGAGGATGAAATAGACATTGTTGTCATTAAAGCTTGAAAGCATTCTAAGTTTCTATGTCGTAATTACATCTTGAATGGATTGTCAGATACACCATGTGAAGTGTATAGTATCCATAAGATTGCTAAAGAATTTTGAATAACATTTGGTCATGTTCTGAGTTGTCACAAAACATGGTGAGGAAGCTATTTTATTAGCAAATACCTTTAAATAAGGTAACTTACAAGAAAATAGGTGAGACACCATATGAGTTAAGGGAATGTAGAAAATTTTCCTACAACTACATCAAAGTGTGGGGGTGCCTTGTATAAGTATAATGGTAAGTTAAGACACAAACGTCGACGATATAATATCATTAAACAATTGATCTCAACTAGAGTTATCTATATTGATTTTGTAAGATCAAAAGATAACATTGTGAATCCACTAAAAAATGAGTTGAATCAAGATCAAGTTGATAAACATCGAAAGGAATGTGACTAAAGCTCATTAATATTTAAGGCGCTATGTGAAGGAAAACCCAACTTAGTTGACTGGAGATTCCAAGATCTAAGTTCAATGGGAGAACCTACTTACATAGACCTTGTGAGGTCATTGTGGGGGTTCTTATCCCCAAGTCCATTCCTATGATACAAATAGCGACTAAAATGTGGAAAAGGTTAAGTAATTCTTTTAATGATCACTATGTGTTTCGGTGAGCCAAACAACATAAGTCACCTATGTGAGAGTAAAGTGGAGCCGCTTCAAAGAGACTATTGGGGCATAGTTCTTTAAACTCTTGCAGAACCAGGAGATGTCCACGGCTATATGGATATAACCATGTGAACCAAATTATTGCTAGTGAGATATTTGTATGAGATATGTTATCGCTTACACCAATGGTAGGACAGTTCAAGGACATCACGTCTACTGGACATCCAGTAAGGTAAACATATTTTCACAAGAGAAGGTTCAAAGGGGGACGACTACCTATCCTATACAAATATCGAACATAGAATCTATGACCATATCGAGTCAATGTTTAAAATCATCAATTTCATTCATGTGGGGGATTGTTGGAAAAATTAATAAATAATTGAATAAAATTGATGTCTTTTAATAATAAGTTATGTCACTTGGTGAGCATACTTATTATTTGTTATAAAATTGCATCAATTCAATTATACCTATTAGCTTTTTAATAAATCTCTTCATCAAAAGGTCATAACCTTTTGATTAATTTCATCTCCCATGTATATAGGTTAGTTGAGGCTCAATCATAGAAACAACTTTGAGACACAACTTTGAGACACAATTCACAAAGTTGAATTAGGAAATCACTTAGAAAATTCCTTTCAAATTCGTTTTTTCCAGTGATAGAGAAAGACAAGATTGTGTTCGACTGATCACTACGGTTGTGCTTACTTTTGTGATTATTTGTTGTTGTATCCTGGGAGACCGACATCCAATGTTGCTGAAATCACCGAGGAGAGGACGAATTTGTCTTAAGGAAACTGTTCATACATGCTTCAATAAAAATCCTTCTTCGGTTTATCATACTCTACGCATCAGATTCATTGTCTAAATATAAGTAAACCAATTTCTTGCCTCTACTTTAAATTTTATTTATTTTGTTTCGTTCGATTACATAATAATATTTATTATTATTATTATTATTATTATTATTATCTCATATTAACAATTTTGTCTAACATTAATCATGCCAAATCATCAATAGTAAAATACTAGATACGAAAACGTACCTGAATTGATAAGTTGAAATGCTTGAATCTTTCTTTGGTTGTGATATTCTAAGATGAGAGAGTTCTCTTTAGTATAAACTCACAGACATGATAAGAGAAAATACAAGATTATATATTTATTGGGGACCATAACCCTTTAGATAGTTGATTTAAGAGCCAATTATTATTTGTACTTATAACTCTGCCCCTCATCAAATTATAAATATAACTTTAATAATATCTACACTTTTATTTCTTGATATTTCTAATACCTTTTAACTTTATAACATAATTGGTTCACTAGTATTTATTTTGTGCTACATTTTATGATTAAATACTCCTCGTTTGTTCATTATTATTGCTGATTTGGGCATTTCTATTATGTGTATGGCAATGAATTCTGGAAAATGTGCTTAAAAGGCCTGAAAATTGCACTTTTTGTTCTGGAATCAAGGCTGGAATATTGGGCATGAAATGCTGACATGACAGTGAGTCAACATCTTCTAGAAGGTTGAATCAACAATTCTAGAAGATGGGCGGACGACTGAAGCATTCCAATCATTTTAAATTGAAGTTTAGAAATTATCGTTTTAGGATTTATGTTTAAACAATTATTTTTTATTTTTCAGCCAATTTTTAGGGTTTTTAAAAGACTATAAATACCCCTTGGGTAAGCATAATTCATTCATCCTTTGATTGATTGAATTATCAAATCAACTCTTCTTTCTTTTTTCTTTCTTAGCCTTTATAAATTCTCTTTTAGTTTATATTTTGTTTTCTTTTAAAGTTTTATTTTTAAAAACATGTTAAGTATGAGTTTTGTCATGTTTAGCTAATTTTGTTTTAAGCCAAGGATTAAAGCAATGACTCAATTCCAACGTGAGAATTGAAAAAAGTACTTAAATAACTTCGAAAGTCTCTCTCAATTTCTTGTGCTTATTTTCAAAAATCAAAACAATTTCTAAACCAAAGATTGACGTTGGTTAGGATGTCATTGCCATTAAACGCGTGGGAGGAAGGATCAAATTATTGAAAGCACATTCGACTTCCTGGGAACACACTTAGTAAATTGATTGCTAAACGAATTGATATCGGAATATGTTATTATTGAAACAACATAATCTGAGTCGGTCTTTTACGAACTTAAATGGTTCTTGGTTACAACAATTGATGTTCATTAGATTAATTTCCAAAGTCAGAATCAAAGGTTGCACTTGGGTATTCAGTATACAAAGCATAGTCCGAAAGATTGATCCTTGTAGACAAGTAACCAACATGAATCTCGAAAACCACTTTCGATGATATGAGGAATCTGAGTCAAAGCGATAGACCAAGGCTAATTTACCATATTAAATTTAGTTCTTTTAAGTATTCTTCTTATTCTTCTTTACTTTTGAATCACCCTATTTTCTTATTGTTATTTTATTTTACTCTCTTCATGTACAAACCCTCCATCATCACTCAAAAATTACCCTATCCACTTTCTGGCTCAGAGATTAAATCAAGCATAAATCATGGGGTTTTCTTAGTCTTTTTGGGATCATCCTTACTTGTCCTTTACTACGTTTAATTTTCTTTAAATATCATTTGAGAATGAAGGAATTATTTTGACGCGAAAAGCGATGCATGTGAAATTCGTGCATTTTCGGGGACTAACGGCAGATTACTGATTTGTTTCTTGTTTTTGATTTATGAACAGGAAAAAACGTATTGAAGTAGAGGAAGCATCTCTCTCAAAACCCGTAGTCTGAATTAGGTCGTTGAGCTAACGATGTTAAAAATAGTGCTCAAAGGAGGCAACCAATATTTTTAGTTTAATCATTTCTAGTTTAATTTGTTTTCGATTTTATTTATTTTGGTAATTTTATTTCATTATTTTCAGAATTTTAATTTTTAATTTTTTAGGTTCCTCGTTTTTCCGACTTGTATTTTAAGCAAGATGGAATCGAGAATTGTTCGAACAAAAAGTGAGAAAATGGAAAATATTTAACCCATGCATGATAACAAGTCGAGAAGAAGCAAGCAATTTTGCTTATTTTTCTTTATTTACACGTGCAACAAAGAAAAAAAAAACTCTTTTTCTCCTT